GACACGGGGCGTCCACAGGAAGGCAGGGACAGTGGGGACAGTCAGAGATCCCCCTGACACGGGATGTCACAGGAAAGGAGGGACAGGGGGACAGTGAGAGATCCCCCTGACACGGGGCGTCCACAGGAAGGCAGGGACAGGGTGACAGTCAGAGCATCCCAACCCACAGGAGGTGCTAGGCCAGGTCCTGGGCTTTAGAGGACCAAGAGTCACTCTCTCGACACGCATTCTCAGGAAGAAATGTTCCCGTGAGATCTCTCCAAACCACTTTGGAATCTGCCAAGAATTTTCCAGAATTTCTACTTCAATTTTATAAAGACTCAGAACTCATTGATGGATTTGTGAATGTCACCACTTGGCTGCTTCCTCAGAGGCACTGCCCCCAGGGGCCAGGAGGAAGCTCAAGGACATAACTGCTTATGGGCAGGGTCCACACAGCCCAGTGCTCCAGACTGGCCAGGCACAGCGACGATGGGTGACCCTGAGAGTCCACTCCCCTCCTCCTGTTCACTCCTGTACTTCAAACCGCTTCCTCAAGCCGGTCAGGGTTTCCATTCAGGGCTGCAAAGCAGGCCTCTGTGGAGACCACGCCATGCCCGGCCTCTGCCTGGCCCGGCCCGCACCCTCCCTGCACACGCCCACAGCACCCCTGGGTGCTACACCAGGCTGTTCAGCCAACTCGGTCCTTCCCGAGCTCTGTCCACTGGCTGCCCGGCGCTGTGCAGAAGCTGCTGTGTCCTCTAGGTTGGAATACTGCAGGAGTCAGACAAAGGCCAGGCCAGTCGGCCCCCCAGTCTGGCGTCTACCTGCCCTTCAGTTTCCCAGGCGGCTGGTGGCCCTGTGGATGGACATACACACAAGCAGGCGACACCACCATCCCTGGGAAGCTCTGAGCTGCTGACACCTCGGGGACCACGGGACAGACCATGACAAGAGGCCCCAGACAGGCCACACGGTGAGGTGATCAGACAGGGCCATTTTTAGCACTAACAGCTCCCTGGACCCGGCCTTGCAGCAGGCAGGTGAACAGGGTGTGAAGATGTGACACCCCCATGTCCTGGGGACCCAAAGCTCCTCCTGATGCCCCAGCTGTCTCAGAGCAGGGACCCAGGACCCCGACTCTCCTGTCATCCCCAACTCCCTCCCTCCCAGAGCTCTCACCCAGGGGGTCAGACACCCGCCCCCAGACCCCACATCCCGGACACCAGGGGGGGCTCTGTGGACCAGGAGAGGGCTTCCTAAGTGACAGAAAGGCACGAAGATGCCTACAGGCCCACCCCTACCTCACCACCCAGGTAGACAGTCAGGGGACAGAACCAGCTGAGCCGGGAGACAGAGCAAAGGACAACAAAGACACTGGGCGAACGGGCACTCCACCCCCACTCCTGAGGCCGACAGCATCCCCGGCCTGGGGGACAGACAAGGGACAGGCCTGGTCCGGCCCCACCGAGGCCACCAGGGCCCTGGAACAGGCCGCGCGCCCCCCAGCCTGGCCCAGCCCCCACCGCGCCGCAGGGCCACCTACCCGGCTGTACACGTGCCGCTTGCTCTGGGCCATGTCGCTCACCTGGCGTCCACCCCCTCCCCCAGGGCAGGGACACAGAGAAAAGGCAGAGAGCGGGCGGGAGGGTCAGGGCGCCCGGTCGTCACGGACACAGGGAGCCGGCCAGCGGTCCATGGGCCCCCAGCGGGCCCACCGGGCCGGGCGGGGACAGAGGCGGGCCAGGCCAGCCCCCCGCACCCCCGATGCCGAGGAGGATGGGGACCGGGAACCGGGAGAGGGAGCCGGCCAGCTGAGGAGTCACTCCGCTCTGCGCTAGAGCTGCTCCACTGTCAGCGCCGCCGGCCGCCGGGTCCTAGTGCCCCCTAGCCGGCTGCCCAGACGGGGGACAGGCCAGCCCGGGCTGCAGCCCCCAGCCTTGAGGCACGCACCCCAGGGGGGAGCACCCCACCATCACTGTCCCTCACCCCAGGTGGGAGCACCCCACCATCACTGTCCCTCACCCCAGGTGGGAGCACCCCACCAT